CACCAGGGAAGTCCAGGTAAGTATACCTCTTGCGGTGACATATTTAAGATGTTTCAGTGAACAATATTAAAATGTGCCACCTAGCCTGCTTGTGGACCAGCAGATACCCTCCGACCTACCTCTCCCATCTTCTCTCCCCTGGTTGGCTGACGTGGTTGGAGGACATCAAGAGTCAGAATAATTTTTAAAAAATTACTCACACAATATTTTTGGATCAATGAGCCCTGAGGATTGAGGGGCCAGGGGACTTTAGGCAATTTATTTCTAGCTCAGGCTTTTTTTCTTTTTTTGGCTCGACCTGTGGCATGTGTGAACTTAATTTCCCTGACCAGGGATCAAATCCTAACCCCCTGCACTGGAAGTTTGGAGTCTTAACCACTGATCACCAGAGAAATCCCTCTAGCTCAAGTTTATGGATAGATAATTTATCAGTCCCTGGTAAAGTCCCTGGTAAAATCTTGGGCCCCCTGGTGGCTCAGCTGGTGAAAATTCTGCCTGCAGTGTGGAAGACCTGGGTTCAATCCCTGGGTTGGGAAGATCCCCTGGAGAAGGAAAAGGCTGCCCACTGCAGTATTCTGGCCTGGAGAATTCCATGGACTGGTATAGTCCAGGGAGTCACAAAGAGTCAGACACGACTGAGCGACTTTCACTTTCAAGGCTTAGTTTCATGGAAGAGTATCCACTCCCCTTAGTATTAACAGAAAGGAATTAAATACAGGATATCAAGTGGCTCACAGGAACTTGTGAGAGCCGAAGAACTTGACTCTTGGCTGAGATTCCCAGTATTGTGACTAGGAACCCAACTGCTTACTGGAGAAGCATCTACTATGGATGCTAGTTCTAGAATCTACACCAGTAAAAGGGCTACCTCGTGCATGGTCTCTGTCCCCACTTAACTCTTCTGAATAACACTCTCAAGTAACCGTTATACCTAATGACAGAAACTAAAAGCTATGGAATCTCAGCAGTGTGGCAGTCTGGGAAATGTAGTTTCCAGCCTCTGTAATATAGGAAGACATAGTGGAAGGAATTTCAAACAGGTGGATGCTGAGTGATCAAGTTCAGCAACCTCCCAGAACGTGACAATTGAGACGAGTGGACAACCTAGGACCTGGGCAGACATGTGGGTAAAGCAGCCCAATTCCTGAGGAAACATGAAGAGCCTGTGTTTGGGAGAGAGCCCCTGATATTAGACGTGGATCTTCCCTCTGACTACCTTTCTCTGCACTCACAACATACCCATAAACAATCCTGAAATACTTGTATATTCTGACATTGCAATCATGAAAACAGGTTCAGTTCCATTTGCCACAGTAATACTGAACTGGGCTCTCCCAGAAGGGCAAGAGGATTTGGAGTTCAATCTGGTTTGGCAGCTGGAAAAGGTTTCTCCCAGTCTTCCAAAGTTAAGCAGTAGGGATTAGATTCTCTCATTCCCTTATCTATTAAACAGTGCCACCTGGTGGGAACCTCAGCTCTCCTTCAATACTCCACATCCACTTTCCTCTTTCAATGAATACAGTGTTTATTGCAGGGCACCACACAAGGAGTTCAGGACAGCTAGTGCTCAGAAAGTCTTGGTGCCCTGAACTGGCTCACTCAGCATCCACCTGTTTGAAATTCCTTCCACTATGTCTTCCTATATTACAGAGGCTGGAAACTACATTTCCCAGACTGCCACACTGCTGAGATTCCATAGCTTTTAGTTTCTGTCATTAGGTATAACGGTTACTTGAGAGTGTTATTCAGAAGAGAGTTAAGTGGGGACAGACACCATGCATGAGGTAGCCTTTTACTGGTGTAGATTCTAGAACTAGCATCCATAGTAGATGCTTCTCCAGTAAGCAGTTGGGTTCCTAGTCACAATACTGGGAATCTCAGCCAAGAGTCAAGTTCTTCGGCTCTCACAAGTTCCTGTGAGCCACTTGATATCCTGTATTTAATTCCTTTCTGTTAATACTAAGGGGAGTGGATACTCTTCCATGAAACTAAGCCTTGAAAGTGAAAGTCGCTCAGTCGTGTCTGACTCTTTGTGACTCCCTGGACTATACCAGTCCATGGAATTCTCCAGGCCAGAATACTGCAGTGGGTAGCCTTTTCCTCCTCCAGGGGATCTTCCCAACCCAGGGATTGAACCCAGGTCTTCCACACTGCAGGCAGATTTTTCACCAGCTGAGCCACCAGGGGGCCCAAGGATTTTACCAGGGACTTTACCAGGGACTGATAAATTATCTATCCATAAACTTGAGCTAGAGGGATTTCTCTGGTGATCAGTGGTTAAGACTCCAAACTTCCAGTACAGGGGGTTAGGATTTGATCCCTGGTCAGGGAATTAAGTTCACACATGCCACAGATCGAGGCCAAAAAAAAGCCTGAGCTAGAAATAAATTGCCTAAACTCCCCTGGCCCCTCACTCCTCAGGGCTCATTGATCCAAAAATATTGTGTGAATAAATTTTTTAAAAATTATTCTGACAAATGTATTCAGGATATTGAAGGAGGTGCCAAGACAATCACAACAGGGGAGAGAGATCAGGCTCACCTCTGAATATAAGAAAGACAGCTGGGGATTTATAGCCAATGAGCAGGCGGCAGCAGTGGTCAGTGGATGGAGAATCATGAACAGGAGATGTCAATAGTAAGGGAGATTCTTGCCAAACCAACCCAATAGAATTCTTGCTGCAGGATCCCAGGGTGATTCCATATCAAGGGTGTGGGCGCGGATTTTTAATCCATTAACTTATCCGGATCCTTGCTAGAACTGGGCTATGCTGGTCAAGAAGAGGGTTTAAGAGAGCCTGAGTAAAGTTTGGTCAAGGAGAACCTCTTTGCCAGCTGATAGATGAAAATGTGGTCAGTCTAGGGCAGGAGAAAGTTGTATTAGTTCTCATTCCCTTCTCTGCTTTCCTGACACCTTTAGGTCATGCTGTGAAGGAAGAGAAAGCTCAGTGGATTCAAGTAACAGGTCAGGCACTGGAACAAGGTAATGAAAGGTGGAAGTCATGTAGAGCTGATGCAAGTTCTGCCACACCATGTGGATCATGTTAAGGAACTTATATTTTATGCTAGACACAATGGGAAACAAGCCACTGGCATGTACTGAGTAAGGAAGTGACATGATCCAGTTAACCTTTTACAAGGAAGACTTTGGCAGCTGTGTTTCCACACTGTTTGAGGTGGGGTGAGGTCAGTGGTATAAGTAGCAGGTGGAAAGCTATTTCCAGGCCAATACCTAAAAGTCTACCTCATTCTTTCATCATTTCTGGGGAGGAAGGGGGAGCTAGGGGAGGGAGCGATTCTACTAACACCATCAGCAAAGGAATGAAAAATCTAGCAACATGCCTAAGAAGAAATAAGAAAGCCAGTCTCAAGTAGGCTATGAGACTTCGACGCTAAGCATAAGCCGACTTCACAAAGTCAGAGATCATGTCTAAGCGGGAAGATTCAATATCGCCCATTTTCTTATGGAGTATCATCTCCCGCCTAATCTTTAACCTCCCATCTGTTGAAAACTCTGTCCTAAGGAGTTCTGAAGGCAGGCTTTAATATTTAAAGTGGAAGTGCCGTTTTAGAGAAATCCAGACTTAGGGGCAGGTAACGCCAAAGACTTTGACTGTGTGGATCACAATAAACTGTGGAAAATTCTGAAAGAAATGGGAATACCAGACCACCTGACCTGCCTCTTGAGAAACCTATATGCAGGTCAGGAAGCAACAGTTAGAACTGGACATGGAACAACAGACTGGTTCAAAATAGGAAAAGGAGTACGTCAAGGCTGTATATTGTCACCCTGCTTATTTAACTTATATGCAGAGTACATCATGAGAGACACTAGGCTGGAAGAAGCACAAAGCTGGAATCCAGTTTGCCGGGAGAAATATCAATAACCTCAGATATGCAGATGACTCCACCCTTATGGCAGAAAGTGAAGAGGAACTAAAAAGCCTCTTGATGAAAGTGAAAGAGGAAAGTGAGAAAGTTGGCTTAAAGCTTAACATTCAGAAAACTAAGATCATGGCATCTGGTCCCATCACCTCATGGGAAATAGATGGGGAGACAGTGGAAACTGTCAGACTTTATTTTTGGGGGCTCCAAAATCACTGCAGATGGTGACTGCAGCCATGAAATTAAAAGACACTTACTCCTCGGAAAGAAAGTTATGACCAACCTAGATAGCATATTAAAAAGCAGAGACATTACTTTGCCAACAAAGGTCCATCTAGTCAAGGCTATGGTTTTTCCAGTGGTCATGTATAGATGTGAGAGTTGGACTGTGAAGAAAGCTGAGCGCCAAAAAATTGATGCTTTTGAGCTGTGGTGTTGGAGAAGACTCTTGAGAGTCCCTTGGACTGCAAGGAGATCCAACTAGTCCATCCTAAAGAAGATCAGTCCTGGGTGTTCATTGGAAGGACTGATGCTGAAGCTGAAACTCCAGTACTTTGGCCACCTCATGCCAAGAGTTGACTCACTGGAAAAGACCCTGATGCTGGGAGGGATTAGGGGCAGGAGGAGAAGGGGACGACAGAGGATGAGATGGCTGGATGGCATCACCAACTCGATGGACATGAGTTTGAGTAAACTCCGCGAGTTGGTGATGGACAGGGAGGCGTTGGCGTGCTGCCATTCATGGGGTTGCAAAGAGTCAGACAGGACTGAGCAACTGAACTGAACTGAACCACGCGGGTTATCTGGTGTTAGCGGCGGGAGGAAGTTGGTTTTTCCTTGGCGTGCGTACTGCACTTTCACTGAGGCGAGCTGCTGCAAGAACCCCAGCGCTGCCAGCGGGAAGTCTGGGCAGGGAGGAAACCCGGGTTCGGCTGGGGACGGACGGCTGCTGCGGCCGGGCGCTGGCTGCCCCAGCCCTCTGGAGGCGGAGCACAGACCGCTGACTCTCGGACTCTCTCGCTCCATGCACCGCCCCCAGGACTCCGGGCGGGATCAGGAGCCGAGGCGGCGGCCGGTGGTTATGGTGGGGCCCGGGTAGAGAGCAGCTGAGCAGCCATGGAGCAACGCGGGCTGGGGATGCTGCGGCTACCCGGGCTGCTGGCGGCACTGGGGATGCTGGTAGGGCAGGCGGCGCTCGGGATGCAGCGGGAGCGGACCACGCCCCTCTCATATTGGCGGGACCTGAATCTTTGGCCCCTGCCTCTCTCCGTGAAGACGACCCCGCGTTTGCTGTACCTATCTCCCGGAAACTTCTTCTTCGGGCACAGCCCCACTTCCAAGGCCGGCCCCTCCTGCGAAGTCCTGCAGGAAGCGTTTCGGCGGTGAGCGCTCCCGACGGGCGGCCAGGGAGGGGACCCGGAGACCCCGGGACTGGGAGGGACGGACCACCCTGGGACGCAGCGCAGGCGCGGGGCCCGAGAGGAGGAGCACCTGAGAGCCTCTTAGCACCTGCACGGCCATCCAGCCTCGCCGACGCTCTTGCCCCTATTTGACAGGTGAACCGGCCAGTGACCAGACCAGAGTCACGGGTCTGGAAGAGAGCAGAGCCGGCTTGGAGCAGCGGGGACTGACACGCAAGCCCTCCCCTGGCCTCGCCTCCCCTCCCCTCCCCCACCCCGCCTCCTAAGGGACCTCCTGCGTGCTCGGGAACCTGTTCGGGTGCAGGATATTGAGCGGAAGGAGTAGCGTGCTCAGAGTTTGTGGCCATTGTTCGCTTCGGAAAACGGAGTGGATGGAGGGTTAATGGCAGTTTATCTGGAGGGAGTTCGAAGAGGAAGATGGGTTCTTCAAGTTTGCGGACTAGGGGTTTCCCAAAGTGGCTTGTCATTTATAGGCAATCTCTCCTCCCCCAATCTGGTAACAGTTCAGGTGGCAGGAAGTCCTTCGGTTGAAGCATTGTCAAAAACTCCCATTCCCTTCCCAAATCTCTGTTCCATGCAGAGTGTTGGCTGTTTTCCCCTTCTACTTTGGTATGGTCACTGCACTGCAGTACCTGCTTCTCCTTTTGTTTGCCAGAAGCACTTATGTGCTTACTCTCCCAGGTTCCTGTTTAGATCCTTAGGGCTTCTCAGCCCTCCAGCGTCAGGTCTGTAACCCCATTGGCCGCAGGGTGAATTGTGTAGCAGGGAGGCAGCCCACAGTGCTAGCTTTTTCTTCCTCTCTTTTTAAAACTGATGTCTAGTTGATTTGGGGGTGGGGGGGTGCTTCCCTGGTGGCTCAGCTGTAAAGAATCTGCCTGCCAGTGCAGGAGACACAAGAGACATGGGTTCCATCCCTTCCTGGGTGGGGAAGATCTCCTGGGGGAGGAAATGGCAACCCACGGCAGCATTCTTGCCTGGACAATCCCCGTGGACAGAGGAGCCTGGTGGGCCACAGTCCATGGGGTCACAGAGGGCGGGCATGACTACTGACTGAGCAGCAGTAAGAGCTGACTTGCGGTGTTATACCGCGGCGCTAGCTTTGCTCACTACAGTGCAAGGCGGACTGCCCTTGGGGCGATGTCTCAAGAAGCCTCAGGCTTCGACCTGTCCTCAAGGCGCCCTGAAGGAGTGTGGCTTGGTGCTCACTGTACAGGTCCTTTCCTCCCTCAGATTTTGGTCCTTGTTCCCTGAGGTCATTAGAGCTTAATTGTGCTGGCAGGACACCAAGCAGCTGGGAGGTAAATGCAGGACTAGTCAGATCAGCAGCTGCTGACCCCAGCTAGGCCTCGCACTTAGGCTTAGGCCGGAGAGACTTAGAAGTTGATGGCAGAGATGGCACAACTCCTTCAGTTGTGAACCACTAAATAAGATGAGGGACAATGTAACCCTCATTTTAGATGCATAATCTAATAAGTCTTTGGTGTTGAATTTGTTGAATTTGAATTCAGGTCAGAATGGCTAGAGTCTGGGTGAAGAAGTAATATGAAGGTGGTTGATTACCTGCCTGGAAAAAGTACCTGAAGGCCATTTAATGGAGGATCATGACTTGGGAATCTTTGAAACATCAACACACCTTATTTGCTCTGGGACTCAGTTCGTAAAACTGGCTTTTCCTTCTGTGCCATACTGCTAGTAAAACAAGGACACGGTGGTCAGCTGAATGGTGTGAGTCTGGCAAGAAAGCGTGGATGATGTCAGGCAGCCATGGTTAGATAACCAGAACATGAACAAGCTGTGAGATGATTTCAGAAACAAGGCTTGGCATCCTAAGGGAGTGTAGGTAGTTATCTGAGGACTTTGCCTAACTAATTTGTGCCCTGTGTGGGAAGCAGCTATTAATTATACCCTGCATGTTAGGAAGCAGGGTATAAAACATTAGCCATTACGGCTGAGACTTGAAAGCATTCAGGAGAGTGTTCTAGGAACCGAGGAGGGGCCTTTACTACTTGAGAGTAAATGCATGATGGAGTTGAAAAGGTTTAGAGATGATGGGGTGTTCTAGAATCTCGAGGCCATGGAGAACAGGAAAAACTGGGGCCCCAGTGTGCTGAGATCCTCAAGGCTCCTGATGTCTCCTGTAGAACCCACTTCTGTCAACCCCTGCTTTGAAACAGTATGCATTTTGTAGGCAGAGTTCTGTCTGTCTGCTGTGTGGCTGCTTCCTTAGCTTTTACAGCAAGATCACATGCCAGTTTTGGTTTTTAACCTTTTCCCCTCCTTAGTTAACCAAAACTTTAGTTTCAGTTCCTGACAAGCTCAAATGGGCTTCCTTGGTGGCTCAGATGGCAAAGAATCTGCTTGCAATGCAGGAGACCCATTTTCAATCCCTGGGTCAGGAAGCCCACTGGAGAAGGGAGTGGCTGCCCACTCAAGTATCCTTTCCTGGAGAATTCCATGGACAGAGGAGCCAGGCGGGCTACAGTCTATGGGGGTCACAAAGAGTTGGGGACGATGGAGCTATTGAGTGTTTCACACACACCTTGGATACCACTGCGTCAGATCCCTTAGAGCTTTCTGTTCAGTTCAGTCGCTCAGTTGTGTTTGACTCTTTGACCCCATGGACTGCAGCATGCTAGGCCTCCCTGTCCATCACAAACTCCCGGAGTTTACTCAAACTCATGTCCATTGAGTGTGTGATGCCATCCAACCATCTCATCCTCTTTCGCCCCCTTTTCTTCCCGCCTTCAATCTTTCCCAGCATCAGGGTTTTATCAGATGAGTCAATTCTTTGCATCAGGTGACCAAAATATTGGAGTTTCAGCCTCAGCATCAGCCCTTCCAATGAACACCCAGGACTGATCTCCTTTAGGATGGACTGGTTGGATGTCCTTGCAGTCCAAGGGACTCTCAAGGGTCTTCTCCAATACCACAGTTCAAAAGCATCAAGTCTTTGGTGCTCAGCTTTGTTTACAGTCCCACTCTCACATTCATACATGACTGCTAGAAAAACCACAGTATTGACTAGAGTTTTCTGTTAGAATTTTAATATCTAGGGCCACGATTTCCTTATTTGGGACAAGGCAGCACCCGACTCAAAGCTGCTGACAGCTTTAATTTCCCTTCAAATTCTTTTTTTAATTATGGTAGCGTGCACATAGATTGCTGTGTACTCAGTTGTGTCTGACTTGTTGTGGCCCCGTGGACTGTAGCCCGTAAGCCGCCTCTGCCCACATAATTTTCTAGGCAAGAATACTAGAGTGGGTTGTCACTTCCTGCTCCAGGGGATCTTCCAGACCCAGCAGTGGAACCATCATCTCTGTGTCTCCTGCACTGCCAGCTGGGTTCTTCACCACTCGCACCAACGAGGAAGCCCTAGGATGCTGTGTTAACCATTTTTAGCTATACAGTTTAGTGATCTTTATTTCCTTTTGAATCTGTCAGAATTTTTCGATAGGGACTTCCCTGGTGGTCCAGGGGCTTAGACTTCCTGGATGCTGCCAATGCAGGGGCCCAGGTTCTATCCTCAGTAAGGGAACTAGATCCCACATGCCAGAACTAAGGCTCAGCCCCACCAAGTAAATAAATAATGTATTTTTAAATTATAAAAAGATTTTCCTAAGCTAATGATTTTCCCCAGCACCTTCATCTGTTTCACTGTCTCACTGGTTAACTTCCATACACTTCCAAGTTCATCAGAACTTTCCCATCTCTCCTTACTTCCCTGGAAAAAACAGAAGACAGTCTTATGAATAAGTAGCTTATACAGCCTTCTGGCTTTTCAAACTCTATTACAGGTCTTAGGCTCTGAAGACTATGTGATCTTTTTATCTTCTAGCACCTTCAAATGTTTATTTCCTACCCTCTTCCTCTGACATTCAGGTACCAGCAGAATGGTAAATTGTCCAGGCCCTAGTGAGGATTCTTTGGTGTTGTTAGCTGGATACTTCTGTTGGAAGGTAACTGAGCCCCGACTCAGTGTGGCGTGAGCAGAAAGAAAAGCTGTCATCTCAGACGTTGTGGTTGTTCAGTTGCCCAGTTGTGTCCAACTCTCTGCGACCCCATGGAGGCAGCACGCCAGACCTCTGTCCCTCACCATCTTCCAAAGTTTGCCCAAGTTCATATCCACTGTATTGGTGATTCCATCCTGCCATCTCATCCTATGACACACTCCTCTTCTGCCCTCAATCTTTCCCAGCATCAGGGACTTTTCCAGGGTGTCAGCTGTTCACATCAGGTGACCAGAATACTGGAGCTTTAGCTTCAGCATCAGTCCTTCCAGTGAACAGTCAGGGTTGATCTCCCTTAGGATTGGCTGGTTTGATCTCCTTGCTGTCCAAGGGACTCTCAGGAGTCTTCTTCAGCACCGTAGTTTGAAGGCAATTCTTTGGTGCTCTGCCTTCTTTACAGTCCAGCTCTCACAACCATCCGTGACCACTGGGAAGACCACAGCCTTGACTGTACAGACCTTTGTCCACAGAGTAATGTCTCTGCTTTTAAACACACTTTTCTAGATTTGTCATAGCTTTCCTGCCAAGAAACAAGTATCTTCCAATTTCATGTCTACAGTCACCATCCACAGTGATTTTAGAGCCCAAGAAGAGGAAATCTGTTACTAATTTCAACCTTTCCCCCCCTCTATTTTCCATGAAGTAATGGGGCCAGTAGCTCATTTGGTAAAGAATCTACCTGCAAAGCAGGAGACCCTGGTTCAATCTCTGGGTCGGGAAGATTCTCTGGATAAGGAAACGGCAACCCACTCCAATATTCTTGCCTGGAGAATCCCATGGACAGAGGAGCCTTGCAGGCTACAGTCCATGGGGTCGTAAGAGTCAGACACAACTTAGTGTCTCAACCACCACCTAATGGGGCCAGATAGCATGATCTTAGTTTTTTTTTAATGTTTAGTTTTAAGCCAGCTCTTTCACTCTCCTCCTTCACCCTCATTAGGAGGCTCTTTAGTTCCTCTTCTCTTTCTGCCATTATAGTGGTGTCATCCATGTATCTGAGGTTCTCCCGCTTACCTTGATTCCAGCTTGTAAATCATCCGGCCTGGCATTTCTCATGATGTGCTCAGCATATAGATTAAGCAAACAGGGTGACAGCAGACAGCCCTTTCGCACTCCTTTCTCGATCTTGAACCATTCAGTTCAATTTAATTCAGGTGGCTCAGATGGTAAAGAATCTCACACATTGAGAAGTCCAAAAGAAGGCAGGATTTCAGGGCTAGTTGGCTAAGTGACTCAACAGTATCATTAGGATCTGTATTCTTGTCATCTCTGATGTGCCATCTTTGGTGTGGCTGCCACTGATATAGGTGTCACATACAGAGAAAGTTTTCTTGGTACTCACCTCGGAGAGGAAGCTTCCTCCGACCCCCTCCCCGCCCTGCCCCATCACTGGTCAGAATGAGCTTGCACACCATGCTTCACACACCTAGTGAGAGAGGGAAGCCTGGTGTGCTGTACTTCATGTAGTCACATAGAGTCAGACCCAACTCAGCGAATGAACAATAATGGTTTAAAAATTTGTTTGAATTTCTCTCACACAGATATTATGACTATATTTTTGGTTTCTACAAGTGGCCTCTTGGCTCTGATAAAGTTCCAAGTGCAATGGAGTTACAGAAACTTGAAGTCTCAGTTATCATGAACCCACAATGTGACAGTTTCCCCAACATCACTTCGGATGAGTCTTGTGAGTACCTATGTCATGGGACGGATTGTACACAAAGCTGCTTGTTACAGACTCGAGTGCCAGAAGCTGACTCTGCTCCATGAACTGTTGTGACCTCTTAACCAGTGAGTTTATAATTATTATTTTAAAAAATAACCATTAGGGAACTTCCTTGGCAGTCCAGTGGTTAAGACTGTGCTTCCACTGCAAGGAGCACAGGTTTGATCCTTGGATGGGGAACCAAAGTCCCACATGCTGTACCTATGGCAATAATAAATAACTAAATAATTACCATTAAAAGTCTGATGGCAAAACTAAAACATAATAATTGCAGGAAATCTTTAAGTACAGTAAGTGAAGAGGAGGAATTAAATTACTCATAATCCCGGCACTCAGAGTTGACCTTTGTTACTTAGATTTCTTTCTTTTTTTTTTTGAGTAATACATTTGAATGTTTTACATAGATATAAATAAAAGCATAAGATAAGGAATGGCATGAAAAAGGGGTCTAGTTCTGTACATGTGGTTTTTCTGTTTTTCTTCTTTGCATGTGCTATGCTAAGTTGCTTCAGTCGTGTCTGACTCTTTGAGACCCCATGGACTGTAGCCTGCCAGGCTCCTCTGTCCATGGGATTTCCCAGGCAAGAATACAGGAGTGGTTTCCCATTCCTTGTCCAGGGGATCATCATAACCAAGGGATTGAGCCCGCATTTCTCATGTCTCCTGCATTGACATGCGGGTTCATTACCACTGGCATGACCTGATAAGCCACTTTTTTTGCCTATGAACATGAATTTCACTAAATATTTTTTAATGACAGCATTTTTAGTGGCTGACTAATGTTCTAGCAACTGTATGGTTGTGCCAAAACTCACTTGGCTTATCCCTTAATTTTGGACATCTAGATAGTTTATTTTGAAATCAAGTCTGTGCTTATAGGCATGATCTTTCTCTCTCTCTTTTTATTTTTTGGCACAGTATGCAGGATCTTAGTTCCCTGACCAAGAATTGAACCTGTGCCCCTTGCAGTGGAAGCACAGAATCTTACACTGGGCTCCAGGAAAATCCTGGCATGATTTCTGTTTATAATTAAGTTGACACATAGATAATGCAGAACTGAGAGGGATGAAGTTTTTCACTTTGATTTATATTTATGTTGTATTATATTTATATTCCATCTTCATTTATATTGATTGAAAATATAATCAACATTTAGTTACATGATTCCTTATTTGCATAAAATATTCCTAACTTGTTGTAGGAAGAATAAGCGGATGGGCAGACCTTTATCATATCATGTACTGACTGGATTACGTGGAATTGTACCACAGAATCAAAGAAGAGCAGTGGGCGATTTAGGATCAGTGCAGAAAGAGCAGACTGGTGAGTCAGGTGTAAAAATAGAAAGGAAAATGCATCTCTTAGAGAAAAGAGTAACCCCTTTGTTCTCAGACTGCCTCACAGACAGTTAAAATACATCTCTTCATCCTTTTAATTAGACTAGAGGTGAGATTTCTTGATGCCTTGATTCACCTTTTTGCAAAATAACTTCATTTCTCTTCCATTCTGTGGCTGAGAAACAGGCTGGTTTTCCCACATTAGTCATGTGAGTTGACAGCACTGACACTTTATGAATCAGATTTTGCAATCTGAATTGAGAAATGATCAGCAAATTACCAAGGAATCTTTGCTCACTAGCAGTAAAATGGCATACAGTAAAATCCAAACAATGGAATATATCGAGGCTGGGGAGTTACAGTCTGCCTTGCATTCAGTTTTGCAAACCCCATTTTTCTGAATGGGAGACTTCTGGAGATAAGCTAACCATGAAATTTTCTGGTTAAAGGACAAACTAGTTTTAAACTAGATGATGATGATGATGATGATAGAAGTAACAGACAAATAGAAATAACAAGATATCAACCATTGTGCAAGGGTACAAGGAAATCTTGGAGAAACTTGGAGTTAACTTGGAGTGTTAACAGCAGCATCAAGTAAAATAAAAATAGGCATCCCCTCAGAACCAGATATAGACTAATTTCTACCATAGAGAAGTAATTACATACATCAAGAATGTTCTCCGTGGTTTGTCTGCCACAGTGAATGTTTTTAAGCAAAACGAAATGTTCATCACTAGAAGAATAGCTGCATATATCTTGTCAGTTGACACTGGCGAATACTCTTCAACAATTGGGAATAAACCAGTGGAGTTACAGGACTTCTCTAGTGGTCCAGTGTTTAAGAATCTGCATGCCAACACAGAGGACACGTGTTCGACCCCTGATCTGGGAAGATCCCATACGCTGAGGAGCAACTAAACCCAACTGCCACAACTACTGCGTCCCTGTGCCGCAACGACTGAAGCCTGCAGGCCTAGAGCCTGTGATCTGCAACAAGGGGAACGGCCACAGTGAGGAACCCATGCACTGCAACTCGAGAGGCGTCCCCACTCGCTGCACCTAGAGAAAGCCCAAACACAGCTGTGAAGACCCAGTGCAGCATATGTCGGTAAATGAAATACTTAAAAAACAAGTGGAGATAGAACAGACATGGAGGACTTGCCAAGATAAATTGCTGAGTTGGACAAAGGAAGATACATCATAATGTGTACAGGTGGATACCATTTATATACCAACATAATACAAGAAGGTGCACAGAAAGCAGCATTCTGTTTATTGTCACGTTGATATACAGGTGCCCCAGAAAAGACCTGCTGTTTCCTCTAAGGAAAGTAGGGAGTTCAGTGGGCATCTCAAAGGACTTTTCGTCTTACCTATAACATTTTATTATTTTAAAAAGAGGAATCCAGTGCTGTTATTTGCATGTATACCCGTCAAAACAGTGTGGTGCAAAAAGTATAGAAGGGGATAATTGAAAGAAAGATGCCTTCATCCCACCTCAGGGAGCTTATCAGTTTTAAGACTAAGAATTTTGCTTTGAAATAAAAATTCTATAGATTATTTGTCCATATATTTAGGAAACACAGTCTCCTCCTTACTGCTTTATATGTGGTTTTTGAATTGGGTTTGAATCAGAATCCTTTCCAGTATCAGCCAGTCCTCAGCTGTTGGAAAATAATTGGCATCAGGTATATGCCACATGTTAATGGTTTTAGATAAGTCTTTGTGCTGACTGATTCCAGGAGATCTCAGAACTGGAATGTGGCAAAAACTCGCGTTAAAAAGTGACCAGGGAAATGGTGAGTTCTACTTAGGTAGCTTAAAGTAAGGATTTAATAGAGGAGTGGAATCATGATTAGATTGTGGTCATAATAGCAATACCGTTCTTAGCCTGGCCTTTAGCTAACTCACGACTGTTCGTCTTATGGAAAGGCTTCCTTGTCAGAGGATTGTCACTTGATCGTTGGCTGTTGATAGAGCTGTTTCCCTATGTGTAGGCAGCTGTTAGGCAGCACCCTGGGTGCTGGTGGTGCAGGGTGATGATGAAGCAGAGATGCCAGTTAAGTCATGAACCTGCAGCCCTCGAGTGTCCCGGCTGCTGCAGAGTCTTCATGCCTTTAGCTTTCAGCCTCTCTGTGCTTCCTGGTGCTTCCCTTTCTCTGGGGATGAGTCCACGGGAAACCTTTCTGAAGACTGATGAGGTTGGGGCAACCGCTAGTTGCAGGGCTGCACTTGGTTGCACCTCGGCATGGGGGATCTTAGTTCCCAACCGAAGATTGAACTCCATCCCCTGCATTAGAAGGCAGATTCTGGACCACCAGCAAGGTCCCAGCAAGTGAGTGTGAAGGAAGATTCGGGACAATGTTAGGGGTGTGCAGGTCCAGGGCAAGTAGGGGGCACAGGGGCAGAGCGGCCGGAGCAGAGAAAACTCTGGTCTTACAGAGCGCAAGACGGATACCAGAGGCTCCATCAGGGAATGAGGGGCACTGAGGAGCTTGCCCTTTTGACTTAAACTCCTGGCTTAAGTGAGACCCTGCTCTGTAGAGGCTAGCGGGAGAGGACTCTCCAGTAAGGGAGAATGAGGAATGGGGGCGGGGCCACCCCGCTTCCTGACCTGAGCTCCTGGGCTGGCTGGAGTGAGGAGAGGATGAGTCCAGAGCCCAGCGAGTGAGAAGCGGGAGAGTTCAGTCTGGGGCTTGTGGAGTTTAAGGAAGAGCCTCAGGGCTTCCGGGGCTTCCCTGGTAGCTCAGCTGGTAAAGAATTCGCCTGTAGTGCAGGAGACCTCGGTTCGATCCCTGGGTTGGGAAGATCCCCTGGAGAAGGGGGGATGGGCTACCCCCTCCAGGATTCTTGGGCTTCCCTTGTGGCTTAGCTGGTAAAGAATCCCCAAGAGATGTGGGAGACCTGGGTTCGGTCCCTGGGTTGGGAAGATCCCCTGGAGACAGGAAAGGCCGCCCACTCCAGTATTCTGGCCTGGGGAATTCCATGGACTGAGAATTCCATGGGGTCGCAAAGAGTCGGACGGGACTGAGCAACTTTGACTTTTCACGGGACTTCCACATGAGGATATACAGAAGGCAGTTGGAGAAACAGGTTTGGAGCTCAGGAGAAAGGAACGATCCAGAAATAGCAATGATATGTTTTGGGAAATGTACTGTGTGTCACTGAGGGATAAAGCAAACATTTTTTTCTTCAGTTTTACTGAGACATGACTGACAGCACCGTGTAAGGCTAGGTGTACAGCATTACGATCTGACTGACATACATCGGGAAACGATTATCACAGGAAGCTAGTGGACGTCCATCTCAGATAGAAAACGAAAGAAGGAAAAACAGTTTTTTCTTGATGAGAACTCTTACGATTTACTCTGAACAACGTTCATCCCGCCGTGCTAACTGTGTTCATCATGGTGTACATTACGTCCCTTGTACTTATTTATCTTATAACCAGAAGCTAGTACCTTTTGCCTGCCTTTGTGCAGTTACCACCCGCCTCTGGTAACCAAGAGTCTGATCTCTCTTTCTTGAGCTTGCTTGTTTTTGACATACAGTTACCTTACAACACTGTGTTAATTCCCCTTACACAACATGGTGATTCAGTGTTTCTATGCATTTTTACACATAAGCCTAACTCATGACTCTGTCCTTCTGAGGAAAGGCTGTCTTGTCACAAGACTGTCACCTGATGACTAGCTGTGGCGAGATCTGTTTTCCCAGGTGTCACCCGCTGTCACGCGACACCCTGAGTGGTGGTGGCCGTGGTCGGTGATGATGAAGCAGAGAACTTCTTATTCTGTCCTGGTTTTTTGAGGTGTAATTGACATAACATTATATTAGTTTCAGGTTTACAACATAATGATTTGATATTTGTATATAATGTAAAATGTCACCATCTGTCACCATACAAGAAACATGTTTTTCTTTTTTCCAATACAGATAATTTACTTGTGAAAGGACCAGTGGCTACACTGACTGCCAACAGAGTTTGGGGAGTATTACGAGGTAAGTTCTATGTAGTTTCATTGTTATTTTCCAGTGAGGAAATAGTTTCAGTTGCCACTTTGGGAAATCAAGCCTATTAATAGTAAAACTTTCCTTCCTGGGGGCCCTTTATAGAATGATTTGTTGGGTATCTCCAAAACAATTTCCATTAAGTACTGTATATACCACTTAAAGAAAGATCATTTGTATATACCACTTAATGAAAGATCATTTGACCTTTTAAAAATGTTTGAAGGTTATTGCATTCATAATGCTGCAATTCCTTGATGTTCTTAATCTGTAATATTTAGAGTTATAAATGGCTCAGATCTGCTCCAATTAGATTTGGTTTTATCATCCGTCACCTTTTGCCACCTTCAGTAGCAGCATGTCATTTCTGCATTTTATTTATTTATTCAAACAACAGTATACTCACATTTTTTTCTGAACCAGACTATTAGTGCAGAAGCAGAAAAGCAAAGAGGAAAATCATGTTCCCAGTAAAACATGTCCAACTCTCCATGTGTGGTGATGTTTTCTGCTTGATATGTGAAGATGCTCATGACCTCAGTGCAGCATAAATGCATGTGCCGTGGCATTTGAGAGTCCTTATTGACTCAGCTTGGTTCTTCTCCGGTGTCTCCTTTCAGGAGTGGAGTTGTACTTGATCTCATTGTCCATTTTCAGCTGAATCCACTGGGGAATTGGACGATTCTTCTGTTTCTTGGCCAGGAATCATTTGATCCTGGGAGTCTCAGGAAGAGAAGTTCAGGAACAGAGTCAACCACACACACCATGATGACCTAGAAAAGAAGAGAACCCTTCCCCCATTTTAAATTCCTGTGAATTTAGAAATATAAGAAAGTTTGCAGGAACGTTGTGAAAAGATAAAAATATACTCTGAGTGATTGGAGGCAGTGAGCAGAGAAGAACCTTAAAAGCTTTTCCTGTGACTTTCAGTCTGAACTTCAAAGTTCAGGCGTTGGGACATTTACTTTTGCTGTTCGAAAGCTGCTTTGACCTCTTCTTTTGAGAGGATAAGATTTTGTTTTACTGGCTTCCAAATTAGTATGGTTTTGAAAAAGGAGAAGAATAATTTTCTTTAATGTGAGCTAGCTAGCCAAAGTTATAGTAATTAAAAGGAGAGAAGGCTTTGGATTTGACTCTGGTTGAGTGTTATCTAGAATAAAATAGTGATTGTTAATGCTATGTTTTATAGTCATAATAATTATGGTTTGATTGTGATCTTATTCAAAATAATGACAGGAAAATATCTATAGATACTTACCACAAATGTAACTACAGATATTATCATCTAGATTATTTCCATATACTGGGATGTGATGTGAAACTGTTACCAGTCTGGTGTGCCTGTCTTGGCTGGGGCCTGTTAGGGAAATCAGCTTTATTGATGTCTGCGCTAATCTACATAAGAACTTTTGAGAGCGTTCTGTGAATCTAGTCCAGGAAGTCCTTATTTTCTGTTTCCTGTCAGACTTTGAAAGTAACAAATATGCCATAAATGATATTTGAGTGTACTGCTACTTAACATAAAATTCCAAAGTTATTCTGTATTTGCTGATAGGAGAGAGGCATAGCCAAAGGAACTTTGAACTTTTTATTCTTCCCTAATTTTTTTGAGGTATAATTGACATAACATTATATTCGTTTCAGCTTTACAACATAATGATTTGATATTTGTATTTAATGCAGAATGATTACCATGGTAAGTTAGTTACTGTCCGTCACCACACATAGTTAGAAGAGAATTGTTTTTCTTATGATGAGAAATTCTGAGATTTACTGTTTTTAGCAACTTGCAAATAGGTAGCACAATATTTATTAATTACAGCCACTATGCTGTACCTCACATCCCTAGGACTTATGTGTATATGAAAGATTGTACTTTTTGATCCCCTTCACCCATTTTACCTACCCCCTACCCCTGCCTCAAATAACTGCCAATCTAGTTTTTATATTTATGAGCTTTTGGTTTATTGTTTTTTCAGATTCCACATCTAATTGAGGTCATGCAGTATTTGTCTTTCTCTGTCTTATTTCATTTAGCATAATGGCCTTAAGTTCCATCCATGTTGTTGCAAAAAGCAAGATTTCCTTCTTTCTGTGGCTAAATAGCATTCCATTGTACACATATACACCCCACATCTTTATCCATTCATCCTTTGATGGATGGGTTGTTTCCGTATCTTGGCTATTGTAGTTAATGCTGCAGTGAACACAGAGGTACACATATTTGGGGTGGAGGGATTTAGTGTTTTGTTTTCTTTGGATAAATACCCAGAAGTGGAGTTGCTGGATCATGTGGTAGCTCTATTTTTAGCTTTTTAGGAACCTCCATGTGGTTTTCTATAGTGTCTTCACCAGTTTATATTCCCATGAACAGTGTTAAGGGATCCTTTTACTGCATATCCTCACCAACAGTTGTTATTTCTTATGTTTTTGATCATAGCCATTCTAACAAGTGTGAGGTAATATGTCACTGTGGTTTTCACTTGCCTTTCCCTAATGGTTAATGCTTAAATTTATGACAAACCTAGACAGCATATCAAAAAGCAGAGACATTACTTTGCCAACAAAGGTCCATCTAGTCAAAGCTATGGTTTTTCCAGTAGTCATGTATGGATGTAAGAGTTGGACTATAAAGGAAGCTTAGCGTCGAAGAATTGATGTTTTTGAACTGTGGTGTTGGAGAAGCCTCTTGAGAGTCCCTTGGACTGCAAGGAGATCCAACCAGTCCATCCTAAAGGACATCAGTCCTGGGTGTTCATTGGAAGGACTGATGCTGAAGCTGAAACTCCAATACTTTGGCCACCTGATACAAAGAGCTGACTCATTTGAAAAGACCCTGATGCTGGGAATGGTTGAAAGTGGAAGGAGAAGGGAACAGCAGAGGGTGAGATGGTTGGATGGCATCACGGACTCAATGGACATAAGTTTGAGTAAACTCCAGGAACTGGGTATGGACAGGGAGGCCTGGTGTGCTGCAGTCCATGGAGTCGCAAAGAGCCAGATACAACTGAGCGACTGAACTGAACTGAACTGATGCTTAATAATGTTGAATACCTTCTCATTCACCTGTTGGCTTTTTATGTGTCTTCCTTGAAAAATATACCTGTTCACAATCTTCTACCCATTTTTTTGTTGGACTTTTTTTTGCTACTGAGTTGTATGAGTTCTTTATATATTAACCTCTTAATAGATATATAATTTGCAAGGATCTTCTCCTCTTTGGTAGATTGCCTTTTTGTTGATGATTTCCTTTGATGTGCAGATGATGAACAGTATGAAAAGGCAAAAAGATAAGACACTGAAAGATGAACTCCCCAGGTCGGTAGGTGCCCAGTATTCTACTGGAGGTGAGTGGAGAAGGAACTCCAGAAAGGATAAAGGCATGGAACCAAAGCAAAAACAACACCCAGTTATGTATGTGACTGGTGATAGAAGCAAGGTCCGATGCTGTCAAGAGCAATATTGCATAGGTACCTGGAATGTTAGGTCCATGAGTCAAGGCAAATTGCAAATGGTCAAAGAGGAGATGGCAAGAGTGAATGTCGACATTCTAGGAATCAGCAAACTAAGATGGACTGGAATGGGTGAATTTAACTCAGATGACCATTATATCTACTACTGTGGACAGGAATCCCTTAGGAGAAATGGAGTAGCCATCATAGTCAACAAAAGAGTCCGAAATGCAGTACTTGGATGCAATCTCAAAAACGACAGAATGTGCTAGTTTGCATTCCCACCAACAGTGTAAGAGGGTTCCCTTTTCTCCACACCCTCTCCACCATTTATTGTTTGTAGATTTTTGGATAGCAGTCATTCTGACCAGTATGAGATGGTACCTCATTGTGGTTTTGATTTGCATTTCTCTGATAATGAGTGATGTTGAGCATCTTTTCATGTGTTTGTTAGCCATCTGTATGTTTTCCTTGGAGAAATGTCTGTTTAGTTCTTTGGCCCATTTTTTGACTGGGTCGTTTATTTTTCTGGAATTGAGCTGCAGGAGTTGCTTGTATATTTTTGAGATTAATTCTTTGTTTATTTTATTAATTTTTTTATTTATTAATTCTTTGCTATTATTTTCTCCCATTCTGAAGGCTGTCTTTTCACCTTATAGTTTCCTTCATTGTGCAAAAGCTTTTAAGTTTAATTAGGGAAACACATGTACACCCATGACTGATTCATGTCATCGTATGGCAAAAACCAATACAATATTGTAAAATAATTTAACCTCCAATTAAAATTTTTAAAAATGGAAAAAATAAGCAAAGTATATTTGCTCTTCCACAAATTCCATGTCAATGAAGTTTTAAGGAATAAAAGACATGCTCCCTTAAAAAAAAACAAAAACAAAATGACAGAATGATCTCTGTTCGTTTCCAAGGCAAATCATTCAATATCACGGTAATCCAAGTCTATGCCCCAACCAGTAATGCTGAAGAAGCTGAAGTTGAATGTTTCTATGAAGACCTACAAGACCTTTTAGAACTAACACCCCAAAAATATGTCCTTTCCTTTATAGGGGACTGGAATGCAAAAGTAGGAAGTCAAGTAATACCTGAAAAAAAAAGATAAATACCTGGAGTAACAGGAAAATTTGGCCTTGGAGTATAGAATGAAACAGGGCAAAGGCTAATAGAGTTTAGCCAAGAGAAAGCACTGGTCATAGCAAACACCCTCTTCCAACAACACAAGAGAAATCTCTACACATGGACATCACCAGATGGTCAACACCAAAATCAGATTGATTATATTCTTTGCAGCCAAAGATGGAGAATCTCTATACAGTCAGCAAAAACAAGACCAGGAGCTGACTGTGACTCAGATCATAAACTCTTTGTTGCCAAATTCAGACTTAAATTGAAGAAAGTAAGGAAAACCACTAGACTATTCAGGTATGACCTAAATCAAATCCCTTATGATTATACAGTGGAAGTGAGAAATAGATTTAAGGGACTAGATCTGATAGTCAGAGTGCCTGAAGAACTATGGATGGAGGTTCGTGACATTGTACAGGAGACAAGGATCAAGACCATCCCCAAGAAAAAGAAATGCAAAAAAGCAAAATGGTTGTCTGAGGAGGCCTTACAAATAGCTGTGAAAAGAAGAGAAACAAAAAGCAAAGGAGAAAAGGAAAGATATACCCACTTGAATTCAGTGTTCCAAAGAATAACACAGAGAGATAAGAAAGCCTTCCTCAGTGATCAATGCAAAGAAATAGAGGAAAACAACAGAATAGGGAGGACTAGAGATCTCTTCAAGAAAATTAGAGATACCAAGGGAACATTTCATGCAAAAATGGGCTCGATAAAGGACAGAAATGGTTTGGATGTAACAGAAGCAGAAGATATTAAGAAAAGGTGGCAAGAATACACAGAAGAACTGTACAAAAAAGATCTTCATGACCCAGATAATCATTACGGTGTGTTCACTCACCTAGAGCCAGACATCCTGGAACGTGAAGTCAAGTGGGCCATTGGAAGTATAACTACGAACAAAGCTAGTGGATGTAATGGAATTCCAGTTGAGCTATTTCAAATCCTAAAAGATGATGCTGTCAAAGTGCTGCACTCAATCTGCCAGCCAATTTGGAAAACTCAGCAGTGGCCACAGGGCTGGAAAATGTGAGTTTTCATTCCAATCCCAAAAGAAAGGCAATGCCAAAGAATGCTCAAACTACTGCACAATTGCACTCATCTCACATGCTAGTAAAGTAATGCTCAAAATTATCCAAGCCACACTTCAGCAATACGTGAACCATGAACTTCCAGATGTTCACGCTGGTTTTAGAAAAGGCAGAGGAACCAGAGATCAAATTGCCAACATTCGCTGGATCATCGAAAAAGCAAGAGAGTTCCAGAAAAACATTTATTTTTGCTTTATTGACTATGCCAAAACCTTTGACTGTGTGGATCACAATAAACTGTGGAAAATTCTGAAAGAGATGGGAATACCAGACCACCTGATCTGCCTCTTGAGAAACCTATATGCAGGTCAGGAAGCAACAGTTAGAACTGAATGTGGAACAACAGACTGATTCCAAATAGGAAAAGGAGTACATCAAGGATGTATATTACCACTCTGCTTATTTAACTTATATGCAGAGTACATCATGAGAAATGCTGGGCTGGATGAAGCACAAGCTGGAATCAAGATTGCTGGGAAAGTGGCAGAAAGTGAAGAAGAACTAAAAGAGCCTCTTGATGAAAGTGAAAGAGGAGAGTGAAAAAGCTGGTTTAAAGCTCAACATTCAGAAAACTAAGATCATGGCATCTGGTCCCATCACTTCATGGGAAATAGATGGGGAAACAGTGGAAACAGTGGCTGACTTTATTTTGGGGGGCTCCAAAATCACTACAGATGGTGATTGCAGCCTTGAAATTAAAAGATGCTTACTCCTTGGAAGGAAAGTTATGACCAACTTAATTCAGTTCAGTTCAGTCGCTCAGTCGTGTCCAACTCTTTGCAACCCCATGAATCACAGCATGCCAGGCCTCCCAGTCCATCACCAATTCCCGGAGTTCACTCAAACTCATGTCCATCGAGTCGGTGATGCCATCCAGCCATCTCATCCTCTGTCGTCCCCTTCTCATCCTACCCCAATCCCTCCCAGCATCAGGGTCTTTTCCAATGAGTCAACTTTTTGCACGAGGTGGCCATAGTACTGGAGTTTCAGCTTCAGCATCAGTCCTTCCAATGAATACCCAGGACTGATCTCCTTTACTGGTTGGATCTCCTTGCAGTCCAAGGGACTCTCAAGAGTCTTCTCCAACACCACAGTTCAAAAGCATCAATTTTTTGGCACTCAACTTTCTTCACAGTCCAACTCTCATATCCATACAGGACCACTGGAAAAACCATAGCCTTGACTGGACGGACCTTGTTGGCAAAGTAATGTCTGTAATTTAAAAGTAAAAATTAAAAGTAATTTTTAATATGCTATCTAGGTTGGTCATAACTTTCCTTCTAAGGAGTAAGCGTCTTTTAATTTCATGGCTGCAATCACCATCTGCAGTGATTTTGGAGCCCAAAAAAATAAAGTCTGTCACTGTTTCCCCATCTATTTCCCATGAGGTGATGGGACCAGATGCCATGATCTTACTTTTCTGAATGTTGAGCTTTAAGCCAGCTTTTTCACTCTCCTCTTTCACTTTCTTCAAGAGGCTTTTTAATTTTTCTTCACTTTCTGCCATAAGGGTGGTGTCATTTGCATATCTAAGGTTATTGATATTTCTTCCGACAGTCTTGAGTCCAGCTTTGCTTCTTCCAGCCCAGCGTTCCTCATGACCAACCTAGACAGCATATTAAAAAGCAGAGACATTAGTTTGTCAACAAAGGTCTGTCTAGTCAGGGCTATGGCTTTTCCAGTAGTCATGTATGGATGTGAGAGTTGGACTATAAAGAGAGCTGAGCATGGAAGAATTGATGCTTTTGAACTGTGGTGTTGGAGAAGACTCTTGAGAGTCCCTTGGACTGCAAGGAGATCCAACCAGTCCATCCTAAAGGAGATCAGTCCTAGGTGTTCATTGGAAGGACTGATGCTGAAGTTGAAACTCCAGTACTTTGGCCACCTGATGCAAAGAATTGACTCATCTGAAAAAACCCTGAATTGGGGAAAGATTGAAGGCAGGAGGAGAAGGGGATGACAGAGAATGAGGTGGTTGGATGGCCTCACCGACTTAATGGACATGAATTTGGGTAGGCTCCAGGAGCTGGTGATGGACAGCTGGTGTGTCTGCTGTCCATCTGGTGTGCTGCACTTCATGGGGTCACAAAGAGTCGTACACAGCTGATCGACTGAACTGAACTGATGTGCAGAATCTTTTACTTTGGTGTTGTCCCATTTGTTTATTTTTGCTTTTATTTCTTTTGCTTTTCGTGTCATATCCTAAAAATTAATTCTTTTTTATTGTTTAGTAGAGTTCACTAGTGAAGCCTTCCACTCCTGGCCTTTGTTTGTTGGAGATGTTTTATTATTGTTACCATCTCCTTACTAGTAATCCATCTCAGATTCTATTTCTTCGTAATTCAGTCTTGGTAGGTTTTCTCTTTAGGAGTTTATTAATTTCTTCTGAGTTGTCAAATTTGTTGACATATAGTTGGTCATACTAGTCTCTTAGGATCTTTTGTATTTTTGTAGTATGTTGTCACATCTCTTTTACTTGAGTTTGCACTACAGGGAAGCGTTGGAGATATTGTGGGTTTGGTTCTAGACCACCGCAGTAAAGTGACTATCTCAATAAAGGGAGTCATACAAATTTTTTGGTTTCCCAGTGGGTATAAAAGTTATACTTACAATATACTGTAGTTTTTCAACAGTATAGTGCAATGGCATTGTGTCTTAAAAATAGGTACATACCTTAATTTTAAAATGTTGCGTTGTTTAGTCATAAAGTTGTGTTCAACTCTTTGTGACCATGTGATTTCCCAGGCAAGAATACTGGAATGGGTTGCCGTTTCCTCCCCCATTTTAAAAATACTTAATTGCTAAAAAAATACTGATCATCATCTGACAATGCAAGGTTGCTTCACACATTTGATTTGTGAAAAACGCAGCTATCTGTGAAATGCAATAAACTGAAGTATGCCTGTATTCTTAGGTTAAAATTTTCCTTGGCAGTATAGTTGTCAGCTAGAATCATGAATTTTGGTAAAGTCGAGGCTAGAAAGAGGAATTGGCCTATAATATAGGGAACAGTCCACATGCATAAGACAGTCTTTGCAGTTATAAATAAAACACTGTAATTTGGGCCTTTATAGTTTCATAGTGTTTTCTGAGCTTCTTTGCCCTCTGTTAAGTTTAGGTACCTTCTAAAGTGCCTATAATGTTGTATTATAAAAATTCTTTCTTATAATGGTATAAATTTATTAAGAAACTGGAATTTTGTTTTCTTAAAACACTATTTTTTTGTGTTTATCATTAAAACAGAAAAAATGGTATATGGTACAATTAAGTAAAACATTTTTATTTGATAGCAACAGAGATTTTTTTTTTTAATTGAGCCTTGATTTTAGAGAATATGTTACAGAGTATAACATATAATTTTATTTGCCTTTTCTGGTTATGGTTTTATGCTTGGATAATATATCTTTTACTGTCTCCTTTATAAATTAATGCAATAAATTATAAATTTTATTTTCCTCAGGTTTAGAGACCTTTAGCCAGTTGATTTATCAAGATTCTTATGGGACTGTAAGTATGATTATTGTATGTTACTAACATTATTGGGTAGACATAATAAAACATTCTATAGGAAAAATGTAAACTTTTTAACTATTTATTGCTTCTTGAATGTTTCTTCTCCCCAAGTGTATCTCTTAGCTGGTAAATGTAGTTTTTACACTTTGTTTGGTTGTAAATTAATCTCTTATCCAATACTTGCATAGACAGATGTAATCATCATTGAACTTGAGAAAATTCTAAAAATAAATAAAAGTTTTCTTTTGTCTTTTAGTTCATTGCCAATGAATCCAACATTGTAGATTCTCCAAGGTTTCCTCATAGAGGAATTTTAATTGATACCTCTAGACACTTTCTGCCCGTTAAGACTATTTTGAAAACTCTGGTAGGTAATTGTTTAACTCCATTGTCTGTTCTGAAGAAGCGTTCTTTTATGTTGTTACTTTATGTTGGTCACTGTGCTGTTGTGCCGGTTGGAACAAGGGATTCATTTTCCATATACTAAGTCTATTTCCATATAGTGAGTATGAGCAGTGGACTTTCTTTCCTCCCTTCCCTGAGATATATGTTTCCTCTGCTGAGAAGTGGAGGCTCCCCTCGGGAATCACCCTCTTGTTTTCATTGAGGTGGGAGAGAGGCTAACCCAGGATTCAGTCAGCACTGTTAAGAAAAACACTCAGTTTTAATGCTGCCTGTGGCCCTCTATGTAAATCTCAACTGTCAAATCATGGGTGGAGACTTTCATTAGGAATATATTACCTCTGGTTGCTGCTGCTGTTGCTGTTGAGTTAGTCCGTCCGACTCTTGTGAGCCCACGGACTGTAGCCCCCCAGGCTGCTCTGTCCATGGGATTTCCCAGGCAGGAATACCGGGGGTGGGTTGCTCTTTTCTTGTCCAGTATCTCCAGTTACGGACCTTTAATTTTGTGACCTCCACTTACTGTTTTTTTCAGTGGCCTAGAAAGGAATCTGAGGGCAGCTTTGTAACTAAGAAAATGTTCCAAAGAAATATGGAACCTCAGGTGGTGGGTGCTGGGAAGCAGCGTTGACGTAACTCTTCCCGCTTACTGACGCTCTATGGGTTCATCCCTCCCATCACTGTCAGTTTGTGAGGATCAGGAAGTTTTCCCGTACCTTCGCCGAGTCATTTATGAACATAGCCTATTATAAAAAAGTTATTTTTACATTTACATTTAAACCTTGATTTTTTTCTTCAAAAGACATTATTGTAATTTTTAAAGAAAGAAATACAGGCTTAGTGTCAAAAAAAGTTTGAACACAGATATACATAAAATGGTGATCGCATAATCTCATTTACCAAAGACTGACATAAATTTTTATGTCCCATTTACCTCATTTTATGTCCCATTTATCTCATTTTAGACTTGAAGAATGAATTAACATATGATTCTTTTTCTATAGAAATGTAGTTGACATACAATATTCTATTAGTTTCAGGTATACTAAATCATGGTTTGACATTAGCATACATTATGAAATGACCACCAGGATAAGTCTGGTATCCATCTATCCCCATATAGTTACCACAATGTTATTACCTTCCCAGGGATTATTTATCGTGTGGCTGGAGGTTCGTTCCTCATAATCCTCTTCACCTGTTTTCACCCACCCCCTCACCCTCCTGGCAGCCACTCTCTGTATTTGAGTCTGTTTTTGTTTCATTTTGCTTTTTAGGTTTCAGATGAGAGAGGTCCTTGGTATTTGTCTTTCTCTGATGTGGCTCTGGTGTATTTAACATAACATCCTCTAGATTTACCCGTGTTGTCACAATGGCAAGGTTTCATTTTTTTATGGCTGAGTCCACTCTGTTCTGATTGGGGAACTTAGTCTATCTACATTTAAAGTTACCACTGATGGATCTATACGTACTGCCATTTTGTTCATTGTTTTGGGCTATTTCCATAGTTCTTTCTCGTTCCTTTTATCTCTTTTGCTCTCTTCCCTTGCCATGTGATGGCTATCTGTAGTGTTATGTTTGGATTCCTTTCTTTGTGTGTGTACCTATTAATAGGTTTTTGGTTTGTAGTCACCATAAGGTTCATATGTAACAGGCCCTGCCCCCTGTGGGGGCTGCTGCTCCACGGCTGGGCAGAGCTGGGCCTTGGGGCAGCTGCCTGTGGGACTGGCTTCGGGGACTGGCCTTGGCCTGTTGATGGGCAGCTGAGTGTCTGGTGCTGACAGTCTGGAGGGAGGACTCCAAAATAGCAGATGACATCACCAGTGTCAGCAAGCCCCCCAGAAGGCTCCCTCTAGTGCTTTTGTTCCCAGGGGGATTCCCAGTTGTCTCCTGCCTCTCTGGGAGGCTAAGATCAGCAAGTGGTTCTGACCCAGGCTTCTTAAAACTTGCTGCCTCTGCCTTGGGACTAAGAGCCTGTGAAATTTGCAAAGCACAATCTGTGTCTTGTAGCCCTTCAACTCTCCCGTATTCAAGTCCTGCTGGCTTCCAACGCTGGAAGTTTTGGGGGCTCACTGTCCCAGTGTTGGACCCCCGGTTTGCAGAGCCTGATACAGGGTCGGATTCCTCACCCCTTTGGGGAGAACCTCTGCAACTGTGTTCGCCTCCCACTTGTGGGTCATCTGCCCAGGACTGTGGTTCTTGACCCACTTACTTGTCTCCTTGTATTTCCATCTTTATATCTTGAGTTGTGAAGAAATCTTTTCTGCTAGGTTTCAGGTCCTTCTCATCAATAATTACTCTTAATAGTTGTAGTTTTGCTGTGTTTATGGCAAGAGGTGAGTAAGAGGGCCTTCCTGATCTGCCATCTTGCCACATCGTGAGGAGGGAGGCTGTATGTTCTGCTTCTCTGATAGGGAAAGTCTCTCCACTTATTTTCCATTTTCTTCACATCATCTTTTATATTTTATATACATATTATATTGTTTACTCCTCCAGATTGTACATAAAATCAGTGTCAGTGTCCCCCAAATTTCTGAGAATGTTAATTGGATTTGTGCTGTTTGTGTACTGAATTTCTTCCATTTGTAAGAAAGAGTTGGCACTCAAATCTCAGAATTGTGGGACTGGTAAATCCCATTTTTCCTCTGCTCTATTCCCAAACTCTGCAGTAGTGGTAGTCAAGAGCTACTGGGAATTCATGAGCTGGCTCTCTTCCAGTAGGACAAAGTTACAGCTTTAATTTGTAATATGAATTGTGTATAGGCTTTTTGAAAAGTGAAAAGAAATTTATACCTCTTCACATCCTTCCCTTGTTGAAAAGGAAAATTTCAAAGGAAACAGACACATTGGGAACAATCCTGGATATAGTAAGTATCAATAAATTGGAATGTATATCTGTGGTATGTAATTATTTTTCACTTTCCTCTCCCCACTGGATTTGTTCTTTCTGTGAGTCTGCTTCTTTCTTATTATAGTCACTAGTCTGTTGAATTTTTTAGATTCCACATACAAGTGATATCATAGTATTTATCTTTCTCTGTATAACCTACTTTACTTGGTACAGTGTCCTCCAAGTCCATCCATCTCGTAGATAGCAACATTCCATTCTTTTTTTTGCAGAGTAGAATCCCATTGTATATACATACACTACATCTTTACCCATTCATCTGCTCATGAGCACGTAGGTTGCTTCTGTATCTTGGCAATTGTAAATGATGCAGCTATGGACACTGGGGTGCATGTATCTTTTCAGATTAGTTTTTTTGTTTTTGGGGGTATGTATACCAAGAGGTGGAATTGCCGGGTCATACCGTAACTTTTACTTTTAATCTTTTGAGAAACCTCCAGACTCTTGGCTGTACCAAGGTACATTCCCATCAGGAGTTTACAAGGTCTCCCTTTTCTCCTCATTCCCACCAACATTTGTTGTGTTCTTTTTGATGATAGCCATTCTGACAGATATGAGTTGATAATCTCATTGTGGTTTAAAGGTGTATAAATTTTCAACCTGTTCACTTGCAGGATGCCATGGCTTTTAATAAGTTTAATGTTCTCCACTGGCACATCGTGGATGACCAGTCTTTCCCTTATCAGAGCACCACTTTTCCTGAATTAAGCAATAAAGTGAGTAATTCATGTTATTGTTGTTGGTGTACAAAAATTTTGGGTATGGTTTCCTTAGAAGTTTGCAGCTTAAATGTTTCTTATTATGGATAGAATTTAGGTGTAAAAGTTAGATATTCGTGGTTTAAAATTTTTAATATGCTATTGCTGAGCATTTTAGGTCCACAAAACTGGTCTGCTTTTGTCATTGTTACCATAAATGTAAACATTTATGGGGCTATACAAATAAAAATGTAAAAGCTTAATGGATGTAGGAGACCTGAAGCCTTTGTGATTAACATAAAGTTAAATAATTATATTTATCCAGTAGCCCAACTGTATAAGTGTTTTAAACAGAATTGTTCTCAATTCTGTAAATGACAACTTCTTTTCTCTCTAAAACACTGTATGAAGTAGGGAATCTTCAGAGATAATGGCTCCTTCGTAGAAAATAATGGTAGTGTTAGAAGTGTTCAGACTGAGTCACAGGCCAGTGAAGCGGGGAGCAAGCCTCGCCCCGTCTCCCTGAATCCCCCGCACTACCGAGCTGGTCACTGACGGCAAGAGGAGCTGCCTGTGTCAGGCGGAGTTGTCGTTATGAAGCGGCAGAGCCAAGACCCTAAGTCAGTCCTCTGCTCACAATTCCGAAGCTTTCCTTAAAGTTTTGATGTCGTTTGGCTTGAAATCCTAGCAGCACTCCTGTTCTTGTTTGCTTTTGATATGGAAAGCTTCAAACATATACAGAAGTAGAATTTCATGAATTCCCATTTCCTCATCACTCAGCTTCAATAATCAAGTAATGGCCAATGCTACAACACCTATATCCCCTCCACCATTATTTTGAAGGTGATCTCAGACAGCATCTCTTATTAGTTAAAAGGCCTGTTTAAAAATAACTCATTATATCACAGCTAACAATTTAGTAATAATCCAGATAGCCAATCATTATTCATGTTTCCCCAAGAGCCTTTTTCTTTAAAAAAATTTTTTTATTTGCAGTGGGACGCAAATAAACTCCATACGTTGTGGTCAGTTAACATATCTGTTCTATGGGTGCCCATTCCTGACCATGTCTTTTTATTTTTCTTTTAATGTATTATTTTCATTGAGGATATGAAGCTCAATTTGTCCTATAGTTTTCCACAATCTGGGTTTTGTTGATTGCCTTTCCAGTGTCAATTTGTTCTTCTGTCCCCTGTATTTACTATAAACTTAGATTGGGTCTTGATTCAATACAGATTTGTTGTTGGGTTTGGGGAAGGCAAGACTACTTTTTAAGGAGTTGAGCATTTATTTATATTTATATATTTATACCTTGAGAGGTATGCCATAGTAACACTTTTAATGTACCTTTATTTACCACTGATACTGAGTTCTAATTTTTCAAGAACAAAAAACAGGACCAAAGGTAAACTTAAAAAAAAAAAAAAATCAGGGCATCTCAAGGGGAATTTTTGCTGCTGACAGTAATTAAAGTGATCTTGAATGCCAACAGTTATGTTTTGTAATAATGTGTGAGTTTTTATTCTAAAACTGACAAGGGCAATATATTCAGAATTTTCACCTTGGAGTCGAACATTTTATTTCTGTTTTGTCATACGTTCACATGAGTTTGAAATAGTGTGATGGTACACATTGCTAAATCAAGGTGCTGGCTCTGTCAGTAGATAGTTCTGTCAATAAATCTGGAATTAACCCAAAGTGTGCTGAGAGCTTACTGATCAGATACAGTAAACAGATCATTTAAATGAGTCCCCCAACATCACATAAGACTTTAATACTTTGTGATACCTGAAAAGTCTGCTGGCAGATATCAAAGTACAACAGAACTGTAAACAGCTCATACATTTTAATTTTAATAAATGTGACTTTTACAGGGAAGCTATTCTTTGTCTCATGTTTATACACCAAACGATGTCCGTACAGTGATTGAATATGCCCAATTACGAGGGATTCGAGTCCTGCCAGAATTTGATAGCCCTGGACATACGGCGTCTTGGGGAAAAGGTAAGGAGTGTGCTTTATGAGTCGCTAAAAGTGAACATGTGTGCTCCTGCATCTCATGACTTGGTGTTTGCTTATTTTGTTCTTGCTTGTGATTTGCACAAAGGTAGCACTATTGATGGTTGTAATTCAATAATTATTGTATGTCTATTGTGAGCAGGTCGCTGTATCTAGGCATTGCCTAAAGTATAAACACAAGGGATAAAAGAAAACAAGTAGAATGTGATATGTGAGTTAAAGAGTTACGTGAATGAAGTAACACCTAAAATGTTCTTGAGGCATCAGAGAATGCGTTCTTGTTTCTGGTAGAGGGGACACAGGAAAGGCATTTAGCTGGAGGGCAGCGCTGGAGAGAGCAGTTTGTACTGTGCTATGTTGTGCTTAGCTTCCCAGTCGTGTCCGACTCTTTGAAACCCCATGGACTGTAGCCTGCCAGGCTCCTCTGCCCATCAAGATTCTCCAGGCAAGAATACTGGAGTGGGTTGCCATGCTGCTCTCCAGCAGATCTTCCCAACCTCGGATTGAACCCATGTCTTCTGTATTGCAAGCGAATTCTTTACCATTTGAGCAACCAGGGAAGCCCATGAATACAGGAGTGGGTAGGCTGTCCCTTCTCCAGGGGATCTTTCCCACCCAGGAATCAAACCGGGGTCTCCTGCATTGCAGGCGGATTCTTTACCACTGGGTGCCTAAGAACTGCTTCTGGAGCTAGGCTGCCTGGGATTCGAATCCTGCTTCTGGCACTTATGGGCTTCCCTGGTGGCTCAGATGGTAAAGAATCTCCCTGCGATGCACGAGACCCAGCTTTTATCCCTGGGTTGTGAAGATCCCCTGGAGAAGGGCATGGCAACCCACTCCAATATTCTTGCCTGCAGAATTCCATGGACAGAGGAGTCAGGCAGACTATAGTCCATGGGTTGCAAATTGTGGGACATAGCTGAAAGACTATCACTTTCACTTTTCACTTTCTGGCATTTATAAACTGAGTGACCTTGGGCAAGTGATAGAACATCTCATTCTGAGACTTCCCATCTCTAAAATGGTGTATTAGTAGTAGCTATCATGTCATGGTTTTTGAAGTTTAAAAAATGAATATAAAGCACAAAGCACTGCACCTAGCATTTATAATTGTTCAATGAGTATTATTAGAATAGACGTGGAGAATAGTCTGAAAAATGAGTCTGAAAAAGTAGCATGGTAGGCCTTGGGGGAGGAGTCTGTGCTTCTTCGTCAGGACACATGGAAGCCAGTGAAAGCTGCAGGGCAGAAGAGAGACATGGCGGGGGCCACAGCGCAGGGAGCCCTACGTGAAGGCAACAGATTGGAAGTGAGGTCCGAGAGCAGAATGTGATAACAGGGGCGGCCAGTAATGTACTGAACTGAGAGGCGTTCTGGAAATACAGCCCACGGAACTTGGCGACTGGCTGGCTCCAGCAGGAGCGGGACGAGAGACTCGGTGGGATGGGGGCTCGGGGACCAGAGTGGGAAAATTGGGAAGCTGCAGGAGTTTGGGGCAGAGACTTTGGTTTCTGCTGAACTGTATTTTTAAAATTTTATTTATTTGGGCTGTGCTGGGTCTCTGTGCTGCGCAGGCTTTTCCCTGGTTGCAGCGCGCGGGGTCTCCTCTGCTCTTGGCAGGCAGGCTCGGGAGTCGTGGCGCACGGGCCTACTTGCTCCGCATACGGGATCTTCCCAGACCAGGGATCGAGCCTGCGTCTCCTGCGTTGGCAGGCAGATTCTCTTCCTCTGACCCACCGAGGAAGCCCTGTTGGAGTATATTTGAAATGAAGCTAATTGTGCTCAGCAGGGAATTTGAAATACAGTTTGAAACTTGAGGAAAAGGACTGGGGCAAGCTGAAGATTTGGGAGCCCTTAATATTTGAGATAGTATCTGAAAAGGATAAAATCTCAGAGAGGCTGATGGAAATGGAAAGAAAGCGGGACAGGGGCCAGTATTCAGGAGGCTGATGGAAATGGAAAGAAAGCGGGACAGGGGCAGTATTCAGAAATTAATTCTCCTTTTTCTTATCTGAAGAAATTACCAAAGTAACTCTTAGTAAACTCGCTTATCTTTTTCTGTATAAAATCTCTTACATATATCTTCAACAAAATAAAGTAGTGTAATCACGTGCAAAGTCTTGTCTTTGTGATGAACTACTACCTCAGCAAAGATTCTCCGTGTTTCCTTCTAGGCCAGAAGGACGTCCTGACTCCATGTTATCATGCCAGAGAGCCATCTGGGACCTTTGGACCCATAAACCCGATTTTGAATTCAACGTACAGCTTCCTGTCTCAGCTTTTCAAGGAAATTAGTGCTGTGTTTCCAGATGAGTTCATTCATCTGGGAGGAGATGAAGTAAATTTTGATTGTTGGTATGAAAATCTGTTAACTGCCGCCCCCCCGCCCCTTTCTAAACCCTGTTATCTTTGAAGTAGGTGTAGAGGTGTCCCTGGAAAAAGGGAAGACTTGGGGGAACATCTCTGTGAGGTGTTAACCTGGCAGCACAACGCCTAAGATGGCGAATTGCTTACAGAATGTGCATACGGGTGCTATTGACAGAAGCCTGTAGGAAGGAGAATTAAGATGCAGAGGAAAATGAGAATAATAAAAAAAAAAAACTAGAGAACAAGAATAGCTTTAGTGAAGAGGGTAATGATTAAGTGGGAGAGATTTTTCTAGTAAAAATCTTCTGTGCAAATAGCCTGAGATGGAAGAAAGAAGGCCATTATTACAGGATATCAGCTTCTAAAAAAATTAATTGCAATGGAAAGCTAACATAACTCATAATTAAATTTTAGACTTATTTTAGGTGTAGTTAGGCTTACTTTAGGCATAATTAGGCTTATTTTAGGTTTAATTTAGTCATAACTAGGCTTATTTTACTCTTTACAAACTTTAATAGATTTCCATCTGTATAAATGATGTTGGGGTTATATGTTGCTTTAAAAAGATTGGGCATATTGAACTTCTAATGAAATTTTTATCAACTGTTTTTGTTTAAGGGAGTCCAATCTAGCAGTCCAGCATTTCATGAGGAACAAAGGCTTTGGCAAAAAAATTGAGAAACTGGAATCTTTCTATATGCAGAGGTAAGTTACTTGAAAGCCTACTTCTTTTTATTTCATCAGTGGCTTTTGTAAAAGTTTAAGCTCTTATTTAGTACTATTTTATATTCTCATTTTCTCTCCATTCCTTTTCAAAGTGTACATGTTATAATCTCCGTTACACAAAGTACAGATAAAAATCACAGAGGAGGGTGCAATACCCATTATCCTCTCTAAGTCAGTAGCATGGCGGCTCTATCCTTCCGCAGTAGCTGTTGAGACCTAGGGTGGTAATGGTCACCTGTTCTGTGAGCTCAGCTGAAAACCCAGGCCACCCTGTGAAGGCTTTGTCACTGTCTGGCTCCTGGAATTCATTTTGTCAACTCCAGCACTGCTTTTACTTTATACCTGTGCTATCTGGTATGGCAGCCACAACCACATGTGGCTGTTTGTATTTAAATTGTACTTGAAGAAAATTAAAAACTCAGTTCCTCAGTCACATTAGCCACATTTCACATGTTCCGCAGCCAACGGCTAGATGTGACTGGTGCTACCATATTGGAAAGTGCACATATAGAACATTTCCATCCCTGCAGATAAAGATCTACTCGACAGTGCTGCTCTTTGGTAAAGAGTAGTAAACTTATTTTGTAAAGAGCTGGACAGTAAGTGTTGGCAACTTCACAGGGCACATGTGGTTTCATGGGCGTCCCCGATGGCTCAGCGGTGAAGACTCTGCCTGCAGTGCATGAGATGTGGGTTCGGGAAGATCCCCTGGAAGAGGAAATCATAACCTACTCGAGTATTCTTGCCTGGAAAATCCCATGGACAGAGGAGCATGGTGGGCTACAGTCCATGGGGTCGCAAAGAGTTGGACACAACTGAGCATGCATGCATAGGTTACATACTTTTTAAATATTTTTAAGCTCTGTTTTTCCAATGTAAAAAGGGGCTTCCCTTGTGGCTCAGCTGATATAGAATCTGCCTGCAATGCGGGAGACCTGGGTTCGATCCCTGGGTTGGGAATATCCCCTGGAGAAGGGAAAGGCTACCCACTTCAGTATTCTGGCCTGGAGAATTCCATGGACTGTATAGTCCATGGGGTCGCAGACAGTCGGACACGGAAGCAGCTTCGCATGCACATACTGAAAGGCATTTGTCAGTGTTGCAGTCTTTGGCATAAAATGTGCATTCTTTACACACATTGATAAGTTTGTGATCTGAAATAACTTTGTAATTTTTTTCAATGGTAGGGTTTTGGATATGATTTCAGCCATGAACAAGAGATCCATAGTCTGGCAAGAGGTTTATGATGATGAAGTCAAGGTGAGAGGTTACTAATACTGCGTGTGGTTCTGATAATATGAGACTTAATACTCTAACACCTTGGATGGAAGGAACTCTAAGCTTTCCCTGTAATGTTGGGGGAAGTCAGCTTACCTTTCGGTTTAAACTGCTGTTAGACAAGAGCCGCACACTGACACCAATGATCATAGTATTTATTTGATTTCTTCCATTTACTTCATTCTTCAGTGCTGCCTCCTCCTCATCTCTCCCACCTTCTCTCCTCCCTCTCCATCTCATTCTTAGTAACAAATTGAAGTACTTGGAAAAATGTTCCGTTTTTCAGAAGGGCAGAACAAACAGATGAGAATGAGTCTTTATTGCTGTTAAGGTAACCTTTGTTTTAAGTATCACTGTTACGTACACTTTTTATTTTAAATGGCATTTCTCTCTGACATAATCAGAATTCTTTATATTCCTTTGGGGCAACTGAAAATTTGAAAGTCCAGCTACTTGTATTATCTTTCCAGAAGGGTTAGTGGCATCCTCTAAGTTCCAAAGTAAGTAAAATAATGTGGTAGAAATGAGACTAAAGCCTTAATTTATTACACCTACATGGTATTGTATATAGACAAATGGTAACGAATTAAAAGGTTTGATGAAATGTCCAAGTCCTTATTACAAATAGCATTAGATATTACCTCAAAGAGGAAAGGGGAAAGAAGAAAGCATTGCTTTATTCAAGGATCTTGAAAGTTATTAGCTACAATGCCTTAGACTTTTAATATCATCTGCTGTAGCTGCAAGACCTAATACATATTTTATTTTTAACTTTAATAGCTTACACAAGGCACAGTAGTTCAAATATGGAAAATGGGAAACCTTCGTATGAAACTAAGTAAAGTTACAGCAGCTGGCTTCCCTGTGATCATTTCTGCTCCCTGGTACTTAGATGTGATCAATTATGGGGAAGACTGGAAACAGTACTACTCTGTGGAGCCTCTTCGCTTTGCAGGTAAGTGAAGCAACGATCATTACTTGATGTGTTAGGTTTTTCAAACCCTTCCCTCCCTCCAGGGAATCTTTACCTAGGTACCACAAACTATCCTCCCTTTTATGTTTGACCCTTGATTTTTCTTGTGTAAAATTCAACAGACTGAACTCAGTATCATTTTAAGCTTCGTGAAAGAAACCGTATTCTTTCCTAAATGAGAAAACATCTAAAGTAAGATTCCCTTACACTGACACGACTTGTCACCATGCATTTAAAGATGCTTGACTGCAGGAGCCTTGTCTCTCCTCTGAGCTTCCTCTGCGATGTCAGACACCTAAGTAGGGATCGCGTCCTGTTTGGTGGCTTCCGGGTTCTGAGGAGGAGGCATCCTTGGGGATGGGCATGTCTGAGTGGTGGGGCTCCAGGCTCTCAAATCCCCTTAAGAACAGTTCTACTTTGTCCAGTTTTGTACACTAGACTTTAATATACACTTTCCTTTAATTAAAAGTATTTTGGTGTTTAAAAAGTTTCAAAACCATAGGCCTATCAGGAACTGTTTCTCTAAAAGCATTTTCTGAGAATCAAGAAGTGGTAATTACTGTAGATACCTAGCTTCTTTGATACCAAAAGATAGGTGCTGAAGGCAGGAGTGACGGTCACTAGCAGAGTCCACCTTGCATTCCTTGGCACACTGTCTGCAGGCAACCAGGGCACGTGCTTCTGGTGTCCAAATAAGTTTGCATAAAACCAAAATAAAATGGTCTCTTTACTACTGGCCTGCTACATTAGTCAACACATGCTAACAAATACTCTGTGAACCACGGGGTCAGTTGATGCAATAAAGTTTCCCACCATCTTTTGTGCCACAGCTGTGAACTTCTCCCAAGGTCCTCCTGACTCCGAGAGAAACCTTGCCCCAGGCTAACACTGGAAATCAGCACCGCCTCTGTATGTGAGCCTCAAGTTGCACCTACCTAACTTACCTGGTGGCTCAGAGGTTAAAGTGTCTGCCTGCAATGTGGGAGACCTGGGTTCGATCCCTGGGTTGGGAAGATCCCCTGGAGAAGGAAATGGCAACCCACTCCAGTATTCTTGCCTGGAGAATCCCATGGAGGGAGGAGCCTGGTAGGCTACAGTCCACGGGGTCACAAAGAGTCAGACACGACTGAGCGACTTCACTTTCACTTTTCACTTTTAACTTACACCACTGATTGTAATCTAGGTACTCGGGAACAGAAACAGCTTGTCATTGGTGGAGAAGCCTGCCTGTGGGGAGAGTATGTGGATGCAACCAACCTTACTCCAAGATTATGGTATGGAATCTAAGGAAGGACATATGAATTAAGGTGCCTGAGTTTCTCTTCTCCACCCAAGCAGGAAAGCACTAGAAACTTGCCCAGGTGTGTGGTTTGCTTCTTGAAGAAAACATGAATTTAAACTGCCTTGGGGGGTATGTGGTTTAAATTTTAGGCCTCGGGCGAGTGCTGTTGGTGAGAGACTCTGGAGTCACCAAGAAGTCACAGACCTAGAGGATGCCTACAGGAGACTAACAAGACACCGCTGCAGAATGGTCAAGTGAGACACATTTATTTGTCAGGCTAGGATGCTGTTAAGTACAGGGTGACTTTTTACCTTATTTAGTGTGAGCTAGCTTATTGGGATTTTTTTGTTGTTGCTGTAAATGGAAATATATGTGACCTAATAGGTAGTGATCTAATTAGGAAAAATTGGCAACTGTTTCTCTATGAATTATGAATCTCTCCTCAGTAATTTGTGGTATGGTTTAGTGATTGTGACTTGAGTTACTAAGTTTCTTAAGACAGAGATGAATTACATCAGTCTAAAACATCTTTTGTTTATACTTGTCCTACAGACGAGGAATAGCTGCACAACCTCTCTTTACTGGCTATTGTGACCATGAGGGCAGAATATAAAAACGAGCTGAAACAGAAGAAAATATGGGAAAAGAGCCCACAGTCAACCCATACTACAATCAACCTGATTTTAAAAATCATGTTTTTGAATAAAATATCTTTTTATTGATTGAACCTCCATCCTATTATACATTAGAAGACTGACATCTTTCTTGTGAGAGAAGCGTAAAACCAACCAACCAAAAACCTGGTGATATCTATCACTCAGTGTATTCCAAAAGACTGAATCTAAACTGCCAACAGTAATAATTTCCTAGATACACAATACAGTTCAGGTACATTAACCTTCAACGTCACAGCACGTTTCTCATGCTATAAAGTAGAATGACCAGCACCACTGTCACTGTCTGTCCAAGTTCTCCCTTAAATTGTTCTTACTGAAAACGAAGTAGGTAGGTGCTCCTGAGTTTCTCTTCAAGGACTTAGGACAAGCCATTTCTCTGGCTGAGCAGCGTACTTTGGTCCTGAGGATTCATGGCTTGATAATTAGACAGCTCTAAGGAAAAAGTAGCTGAGTCTGATGTTAACAGCCGAAGCACAGCTGATTAACCCTAATCAAAATAAGTTAGTTATCTCTGCAAAGTTAAGCCTCAAATCTCTCCCTGCACATCTTTTGACCATTACCAGGAAAAGCTTGCTAAGCACTGTGAGGACAGGAAACCGGGAGTGAGGTTATGCTTCAGAAGTATTCCCCAGCCCCAACGTCTGGCAAAGGCTCTGCTGACACTCAGATGCCTGTCCTAGAGCAGGAGAGGCTGGCAGGGAAAAGAGTGGCAGGAAGAACTGGCTGGGAGCCAGCAATAGTAGGCGTAAATAAGTGCTCAGGATGGAGAAATGGTCACTTGGGCTGATGACACATTTTGGTAGAGCCCACCTCAAACTTTGTGCAGGGCTGGGAAGCCCTCCCCGCACATCTACACCCGTGCTGATATGATCCCTGAGATTTCTCCAGCAATTTATGTAAAATATGTACATTTAGTCTCAGAGCACCTACCATGATTTCTGCTAAGGGAACAAATCCAATAACAACGTTGCTGTCTTGGCGAGACTGGATTTCCTGAATGTTCCCTCTTCTCTGTGCCAGGTCTGCTAGGACAGGGCTGAGGTAATCTCTTGTCACCGTCACCTCAAGATTCATCAAGGGCTCCAGAATTTGCTTTTCAGCTTTCTTCAGAGCCTAAAGGAATTAAAGGATGTTAACTCCTCTTCCTCAGACTGCAGATCAGACTTCTGTTATGAAGGGAAGATTCATAAAAACTTAAATACTGTCCATACTCTTAAGCACAGAGCCTCCAGCAAAAAGACAGAAGCCTGCCTTAACATTCTTTATAAGAAGTCCAAAACTTCAACATTTGCGCATACATGCATGCCAACAGTATACCTGAGACCTCATGTAGGGTTTGCTCCTACCTTCACGTATGTGTTGCAAGAGGATGCTTGGTAAAGTCTGATGAGGTAGAATACCTGTGAACATGTGCCCAGAGACACGGGGGGAAAGAAAATGGTGTTCCCCTCTCAAAGACATATTTCCTTCATATATCTCCTCTTTAATTTTTGAAACCTATAGTTACAGTCCATGCTGCAAGTCAGGACAATCAAGGAGGGAAATGAAGGAGAGAGGTAAAAACAGTAAGCAGAAACATATTCTCAGTGTAAAACAAAGAGAATTCTGTTCAGAATTTTAGATTTCAAAGGCCAAGAAGAACAAGCAGATACAGAAAATGAAAAAAGCTAAAACAGCATCAGACAAATAGGAAGTGGACAAAAAGTGGGGAAGCAGCAGAGGAATAACACATATTGGGGTCCTAGTCAGATCTTGTCTGCATAGCATCGTTCCATCAGCCAAACTGGTACATGGATTTGGAGGCCGTTTGCAAGCACTGTAACTACTGATGGGTTTGCTTTAATAGATAACCTACTGCTCTAGCCTACCAGAGTTAAAACACAATAAAACAATTTCCCATATATTCTAAGCCTGTTTGGTTGTCCAGTGGGATATAATCATCTTGGATTTAGCAGTGCAAGCCAGATCAAAGAGCAAGGCTCTGGAATGTGGCCTCTCCTTTATCTGCCTCTGGCTGATCATCCTCTCTCTGCTCGCCTGCCCCCACTCACTCAGGACCGGCGGTACCACCGCCTCTATTGTCCAGTAATGCTCTGCACCTCCTCCTTCCCCTCCCCCTCCTACCTTCACGATCATGAAAAATGGGCAGATTCGTAAAAACATCAGTATATTCTCTTTATTGCAGACATTTCAGAAAACCATAGCACACACATATATATAGTAAAAGCATAGTTTCAGTTCTTTGCAGCTGATTAAGCCTTTAAAATCACTACCAACTGAAATGACTCAATTAGCAAAAAAGTATTTAATAATCCTTGAATGAAAACATTACAAAAAATAATGACACATAAACAACTAAACACATCCCATGTATTTTTGCAATTTTTACCCAAAGCTTCGTGCCACTTCACAGTGTATCTTTTTGAATAACATATCGGAGTGGGAAAAGGCTAAAAATTAAGAGGAGTAATGCCGCATCTAAGGAAAGGTCAGAGTTCTGTGTGACTGAACAGGAGGTATTGTGCTGGTGGGTCTGTCCTTAGTCCTCTTGTCACAGCGTTTTCCTTGGTGACCCTGCGTAGTTATAGAGCGTCAAAAACAGCTTCTACAGAGCTTCCTCAGAAACGCTAAGCTGTACGCGAGTAACAGTCTCTGGGTGCTCCTTGTAACTCACTGGCTGCTCTGGGCTGATGTCTGAGTATCCTGCAGCAACCCAGGACACCCAACACTGATCTCACCGCTCCCTCCCAAACGCCTGCCTGCTCGCTCCTCTTTCTGTTGGCGGCGTCACTAGTCATCAGGTTACCCGGACGTGCATCTGATTTCCTGTTTCCCCAACGTGAGCTGTGAGATTTATATTCCTATTGCTGATACTCTAGCTCAGATCTGGTCTATTCCCTGAGGCTCTCCAGACTCCAGTCCCTCCTATATTCTAATGATTATGCTGCTCTCTTCAAAATGTTTAAATCATTTACCACAGTTCTCAAAACAAATCTCAAATTTCTCAGTGTAGTTTCTTACAGGTTTCCCTACAGTCGGACTCTATTTTACTTTTCCAACCCTAATTTCATTACTCCCCTGCCTTCTTTAATCTTTCCATGTCTAGAATGCTGCCACTGTACCCATATCCTCCAAAACATCACAGCTCAACAATTAAGGAAAATGTGTAAAAGCCCCTGTGTCCTTGTCTTTTGAAGTAAAATGCTCAAGAGTTACTGATTGGGAAATGTGAAGATGAAGAAACAAGGATAGCTGTTGGGCTAGGGAACTGGTAACAATTTAGACTGTAATTCTGTCACAAAGCAGAATTACCAAACTCACAGTTCCCTTAAAGATATAAAGGCTTTACACACACTCCTAAATTCTTTTTACAGGAAGCAGACCCCTCCGGATGAAAACTGCTAACCACAAGAGCATAGACCATAGACTGGTTGAAACAGCCTGCTCCCGAAGCACTATAGTGGGTCACAGTCTTGGGGTCATTGGCTCACCAGGGCCCCCTTGCCTGGCAAAGCAATAAAAGCTACTCTTTCCTGTTTCACCGAAAACTCTTGTCTCCACGTCTCTGTTCAGCACCTGTGAACAGAGGCTGAATTTTAGCAACATTAACTTCTTTCCAAAGTCGAAAAGAGGGGTCGCAAAGAGTTGGCCGTGACTGAACGACTGAACAACCATTGGTTAAGTTTTAGGTATGTAACAGTGGAACCATCACAACCATCAGGATAATGAAACATGTGATATCCATCACCCCTGAATGTTCCTTCCTGCCCTTCTGTAACCCCTTCCCTGACCCCTGCCCTCTCTAACCTCACCGCCTCCCTCCTTTCCACCTGTCCAGACAAACTGCTCATCTGCTTTTGTCATCAAAGATTAGTTTGCATTCTCTAAAAATTTTAGAAATCATTCAGTATGTTTTCTTCTTTGAGCCTCTTTTTTTAATCGGCATAGTTAAGATTCATACATGTTGTAGTACTGCTACCAAACCAAACTTGGGTTCACTTGCCCTGGCACAGTAAAACCACCCTGGTCTCAGGACATGTGATCAGCTTGTGCACTGCCCTCTGCTTGGTTGAGGGTGAGCTCACAGAGCAGTGTCAGCGGGTTAGCAACATCGATCCTCAGTCTCCAGCAGGCCTGGGGGTTGTGTGCTCACGGTCGTTACGGAGTCAGCGTCTCCCATTTGGCAGGGGTTTTCGTACCTGTAAAACAACTCAGGTATCATGTACTGTTATCTAGGTACTTCAGAGAGGCACTTCAGCAGAGCACCTGGTGGGTCTGTCCCAGGGCCCAGGTTCTGCTCCATTTCAGTATTTCTATGCGCACTGTGCTCACAGCAGTAGCCTCCTGGGGGCTCAGAGAAGCTATCATTTTCCCTTTTTTATTTACTTATTTAATTTTTATTTTTGGCTGTGTCATTTTATTTTTTAATATTTACATATTAAATTTTTATTTTGGCTGTCAGGTCTCAGCTGCATCATGTGCGATCTTTGTTGTCCCGAATGGGCTTAGTTGCCCCGTGGCCTGTGGGATCTTCATTTGTCAACCAGGAATTGAACCTGAGTTCCCTGCATTGGAAGGCAGATCACTGGACCATCAGGGAAGTTCCACTATCGTTTTAAAAACCCTCACTTAACCAGTTGCTTTACAAAAGCATCTCAAATCCTTATAATAGCCTTGTTGTTGTTTGTTGTTCAGTCCCTGAGTTGTGTCTGACTCTTTGGGATCCTATGGACTGCAGCACACCAGGCTTCCCTGTCTTTCACTATCTCCTGGAGTTTTCTCAAACTCATGTCCATTGAGTTAGTGATGCCATCCAACCATCTTCTCATCTGTCACCCCCTTCTCCTCATGCTCTCAATCTTTTCCAGCATCAGGGTTTTTTCCAGTGAGTTGACTCTTCACCATCAGGTGGCTAAAGTACTGGAGCTTCAGCTTC